GTTCTAGACTTTCTTCCATAGAGGCATTCCATGACTGGGCTAGACGGCTTATAAGTATCTATAGATAAAAAAAAAATTTTGATACTGCCAAACTAGAACGCTCCGTTCTCAGATTTTACTTCAGGACCGAACAGTACTGAGCAAATTCGTCTTCCCTGATGATTCAAAAATTAAACGCCTAGTGAGCAGTTTATTCGCATAAAAAACTCTTCCTAATAATTACATATAATGATTGTCCGTATCACTTGTTCACTTCCCCTCTTTCCTTCCTCTCTCACTCTTCTGTTCATTCACTTATAACTCTCTTTCTTTCTCTTCTCCATTTTGCAAGTTAGTTACATGACTATTCAAAACATGGCCGGTGGGAGGCTGTACTGATGATTCCCGCTCCTAACCGCATGCATAATTCGGTCTGTGTATACAGCTAAGGGATGAAATACAGATAGGTTACCAAGTCACCGTACATACAGGTTTGCTTATTTGGGAGATCTAAATGGCATTACTACTTCCAGTGTTTTGCTTCAGGAACCTGGCATTATTGAGCAGGAACCGGGCAGTACTGAGCAAATTCATCTTCCCTGATGATTCAGAAATTAAACGCCTAGTGAGCCACCGGGCAGTACTGAGCAAATTCATCTTCCCTGATGATTCAGAAATTAAACACCTAGTCAGCAGTTTATTCTCATAAAAACCTTTTCCTAATAATTACATATAATGATTGTTCGTATCACTTCACTTCCCCTCTTCCTCTCTCACTCTTCTGCTCATTCACTTATAAACTCTCTTTTTTTCTCTTCTCCATCTTGCAAATTAGTTACATAACCATTCAAAACATGGCGGGTAAGAGGCTGTACTAATGATTCCCGCCCCTATCCGCATGCATAGTTCGGTCTGTGTATACAGCTAAGGGATGAAACACAGACACATACCACAACATAGTAAAATGTCCTTTGGCACATGACACTTAAGACCAATCCTTCCATTCTACTATTTCAGATATTCTTTTTTTTCTAGATAAGTCTGCTTTTCTTTTTTTTTTTTTTTAAATTTTCGCCAAAAATACAAAGACTTACCATTACTTTTTGCAAGTACTCCACTGCATCTTCGTATTCCGAGACAAACAGCTTCACAACATCGAAACTGCTTGTGCTGGGACTCCTGGTCGGTAGTTCTTCCAGTTTTGCTTCCACTTCATCGGGTGAACGAAATTCCGTCAAGTTCTGTTCTGTTGTTGATTGTGAAGAATGGGCAGTTTCTGTTGAAATCGACGATCCTGCTGCTGCTGATGGTGATTCGAGCGGGCGTGCATGAGGCACCAAGGAGGCTAGTTTTAGAGGTTCTTGCGAAAGTTGAGATTCATGAGATACACCGGATCCGGACGATTGCTCTGGATGACGCTCTGAAACTACTTCCACACATTCTGCCACAGTTTCAGATTTTTTTTTTTTTTTTTGTAAATACCACATCT